AGCGGCCAACGCTGAGCGCTTTCAGCACCGCGGACAGAGACTGCACCGGGCTCCGGAGCTCTCGGACTATGGGAACCACTACACTGTTGAGCACATAGACACCGAGTTCAACTCCGAAACCCGGCAAACGTGAGTCCTCCCCCTCACCTTATATAATTAAGCCAGAAAATTAATTCGCGTGCCCTGTGATCACTAGCCTTGTGCAGAGTCCGTGGACTTATTTCTAAACTATAACCACAAACCTTAATCCACCTGGAATGTCAACAAGTAGAGGTCACTTTTGAAAAGCGTGGAGGCAGGCAGGATTGACACTAAACCAGGTGCACCTAGCTTGTGAGGCACAGACCGACACTGCATAGACAGCACATTAGCAGACTTTTCAAATAAATGCTTTGAGTAATGTTATTGGTGACATATCTGAACTTACTGTGCTTTTAACATCACATGCTAAGATGTGCTGTTATCTGAAATATTAGTTCACTGTAAGTCAGTAAGTGGAATTTCTAAAGCTGCCACTTTCTCTTCCATCTCAACCTCCATTAAGCTGTGAAGTCTTGTATGTGCAAAATGCATATGTGAGGAAGTGAAGCCCTTACTACCTCCTTGTGTTCAGAGATCGTTAAATAGGAAACAGGGGCAGATTAAGGCATGTGACACAGAGCTGGAGCAGGTTGCAGAGATTGATTTCCGCTATACAGTGTACAGAATTATGTTTAGCTGTTTCCTGTATAACTACATATGTATTGAATTGTTTCAAACAAAGGAACACAGTTTTGGTGTATGCAGCCCACTGCATCAATTTAGAAAATGTCCAGAGGAAAAAAGTGGGACATAAATGACAATGCTTAATGGATATTAATGTTACACTGCCAGCTTAGCTATGACTATCAGATATTGAGAATAACAGGCCTCAGAGTTTGGACTTTGATCTTCCCTGGTCTGGCTTTTTGATACCAGTGTTCAGCTTAACAGGCCTAACATGGAAGAAGCTCTCTCTGATGGCTGACTAGGTGAAATGTTGGACACATGTGTGCTCAGGTTTTGTGTGAAAGAGCTGGTTAGAGAGGCTGGACATGTCTGTTTCTCATTACCATTAAATTATGTTGAGTAACTCGACTTTGATCTTATAAAAAATGGCAATTTACTGTTTGAACTCTGTGTGTGGTTGACAAAAGCAGAGACAGAGAGCCAAGAGCGTAACTTTTCTCAGATGTGCGTGTGTGTTTGTGTGTATGTGTGTGTTTGCCCACTGATAAAACACTAACTCATTAGTCATTTCTATAAAATTTGATTTCAAACCTGATTAATCTTTTCTTTCCTTCCTTCTTGCTAGTTCACCGGTAAATGACCTAACCTAATTGATTGCCTGCACAGATTATAAATGACTTAGTGCCTCAACCCTGGAAAGTTCAAGTGTGAAAAGAGGACACGTAAAAAACTGTTCATGCAGTTTACCTGGCTGAAAAGCTCATAGTGACAGTTATCTTATTGTATTTTCATTCTGTGTTAAGGCTTCATTGTACATTTCCAACACATTTTTTTGCTGCTTTGTGAGTAAAAAGTGTAAAAACGCCTTACGTTTGACTGTAAGTGGTTTTGCATATTTACTCCAGAAAGTAGCATTTACATTTGTTTTGTAGAGATATAGTCCAACCATGTATTTTATTTTTATTTTTATTTTTTTAATTTATGTTGTAGCTATTCATTGAGCTTGGCTTCCTGGCTTAGTTTTCCAATAATGCTTGTATAATATACATTTTTTAGCCACATATGATGTTTTTCTTTAAAAAAAAAACCTGGTCTGTCCACCTGTGCATCACCCAAACTACGACTGAGGTTGAACTTTTACAATCCAGTGAGCTAGACTCAAGCCAATTAAGTGTCTGAGATCTCAAAAGAACTGTAGTTTGAGACATTTTTTTGAACAAGCACCACTGCTGTGTTAGAGATACTTGCGGCAATGGTGCAAGATTGCTTTTTTCTCTTTTTCTGTCAGTTTTGTTGCTAGTACAAGAGAGAGCTGTGTGATTGGACAGCCGCTCTCAGTGATCTGCAGGAGGCTCATACTGGGATCCACCAGCAAATTGGGCAGACTCAGTAATAGCTGCAGTTTCAGGATTAAAAAAAAAAAAAAACAGTACTTACATTACTATAGTGAATAGTCTGATCACATTAAATGAAAATAAAATAGGTGCCATCACCACTGAATCTAAGCTTCATGATTTTGAAGCCATGTCCACTTTACAAAATGCAGAGTGTATACTTAGTATGAAACTGAGGTGGGTAGATTTAATAAAATAGTTTGAAACAACATTAAAGTACTC